ATCAACACACACACACACACCCACTATAGCACACCAAGGCTACAAGGGTATTTATTCGATGCTGTAGTAGGTCCAATTGGGGATCCCATTCATCGCTAGTCTTTCTGTGGCAAGCTTCTCCCCAAAAACAGAACTTAATCTTTCACAACCATTGACTAGGCTCCTGCCTTTCGCTCCTTGAGGAGCTCGGCCACGACGAAGTAGCTCATCGTGGCACCTTTGAAAATCTAGGCCGCAATTCCGGAAAATCATCGGAGCTTCTTTTTCAGATACAGCTCTATACAGATCTCTCTCCATCTTTCCGGATAGGTTAAGTTTCGGGTGTAGGGTGCCCTTCAGAAGACTCAGACGGGAATTTCAAAGTGGAAGACTTGAGACTGAACGGGGTATGTTCAAGCTCAACTTAATGGCGGTTAGTACGGAATACGGGAATATTTTATATAGGGAGTATATAGGGAGTACATTCGCGTATTCCCTACTAACCTCGGCCCTAAACCCTAAACCCCTGACTTAGCACTTCCTTGGCCACAGCCATCTGCATTACGACGCTCCCATGATAGCGTGCCTATGCCGAGCCCTTGGCCCACCAATACCCTAGCTGCCCATGTATCTGTTGTAGGGGTTTAGGTCTTATGGCACACTCATTGCTTCCAGCTTTCTACTCCCACCTTGCATCGCTGAATTCTAAACGTCTGGATACCCTGACGGGTTATGCCCTGGTCTCCCAAGCCCCGAAACCTTGCCGGTGCTTAATGGAGAGTGGGGGAATGGATCCTTATCGTAGAATCCCCATATATTCAAACCTAAACCCGAATGCCGTGCAGACGAGCAACTGGTTACAGCAGCGCACAAGGCTGCTGTTATGACGATGGTTTCCTGCGTACGTTGGCCTGGGCCACAAGTCGGTTTGGAGGGCAGTCCGTGTTTTCAGAATCTTGCACTTCTGGGGTCAGCCAATCTTGCCGCATGCCCAATTCATGTTTAGGAATAAGGCTGAAGCTCTTAGATCTATACTCAACATAAACAGTGGCGTTCTATTTAGGGTCAAGAACTCATCGCCCCCTATCCCTAAATCCTTAACCCTAAACCCCTAA